GCTTGGTTTGGCTGTTTAAATGAATGATACATTTAAAATCTCTTGCTTTTTTGATTGCTGTCTTCTGGAAAATGGATGAAAGATTATACTTAGAGTACTTTAGAGGTTAAAGTACCTGCATTTGTTCAACTCTGGCCTAAAATATTATAAAGATGTGTAAAGGGGTTATAACTCTTAGCGAGAAATTGAGCGACAGGGTTTGTGTACACATCAAATGGAATACACTTTGATAGGCTATGTGTATGTGTAAAAAGAACAAAGTATACTTTGGGCTGTAAAGCTACCCATGCCACCAAACCAACTTAACTTTACCCGTATATCCCACCTCAATAGTTGAACTGTTTTGGGTGACACTTTATTTTATTTTACAGCGCCCTTGTTACTCGCTACATGTAGTTGTTGTAAAAATAACTATTTATTACCCCTAAACCAAAACCAACCCTAAACCAACCTCTCATTCTAAGTTTGACCTTATAGTAAGTACATGTTGTTGCTTATTATTACTTAGTGCTCAAATGTGTTATTATACTGTAACACAGACACCTTAAAATAATGTGTAACCCTGTTTTGCAGACGACATAAACCCAGTACATTGTACCTAACTATTGATTGATTGATAATGTATGAAAAAGGGGGAGGGGCCATTTTCATGCCATAATGTCGCAATGCAAAAAAAATCTTACTAATCTTAAAGGGATAGTTCACTTTGAAATTAATTTTTGATATGTTTTAGCTTACCTCAAGGGCATCCAAGATGTACATGGAGGTGAAGGGGGTCCTCAATCGGTTGACCTTAAAAAGCATGCACAGAGAAGTCAAAATTAAACATGATTAAATGACTCGTACATGTAAGTACACATTGATGGCCTAAGACACGAAACGAGCGGTTTGTGTGAGAAAACGAACAGTATTTATATCGTTTTACCTCTTGTAATCATAGCCATGACAAAATGATCTGACGGCACGGGTGCTTCGGTCTGCGCATGCGCCGGAAGTGATCGTTTGCGCGCCTACATCACTCTTTGTTTATACAGAGATTTCGGAAGTTTTACCTTTCACTAAAAATATTTAGATATACGGGAAACCGCAATGGAAGACGATTTCGGTATATCTAAATATGTTTAGTAAAAGATAAAACTTCCGAAATCTCAGTGTAAATATTGAGTGACGTCACACGCAAGCGATCACTTCTGGCGTAACATTGAACAACTGATTCAGATCACTTGGATTACACGAGGTAAAAACGATATAAATACTGTTCGTTTTCTCACAAAAAAACGCTCGTTTCGTGTCTTAGGCCATCAATGTGTACTTACATTTACGAGTCATTAAATCATGTTTAATTTTGACTTCTCTGTGCATGCTTTTTGGTGGACCCCCTTAGCCTCCAGTGTATGACTGATAGACAACAACGGTTTGACTGAAAAATGTCAAAATTGAAAATACTGTGGAAACAAAGACTACATCTTGGATGTCCTTGAGGTAAGCTAAAACATATCAAAAAATTAATTTCAAAGTGAACTATCCCTTTAATAAAAATCATCTTAATTGGTTTTCGGAGTAAAATGTGACCTAGGCATTTTTGATTGTGGGTTACATAAGCCATAGAGGGTTACGAAACAGTGTGTGATACATGCTTTTCCAAGAACGGTGTCTGAACAGCACAGACACAAATAACAATGATAGTAATAAAATGTTAATTTTCCTATTTTTGGACACAAACACCTATTTGTATCTAGCAATATGACTACAGATTATGTATGTTCATCATTACATTGCTGATGCTGATTTTTAAGACTGTGTCCTAGTTTTGTGGTCTGTGATATTGTTTGCGAGCTGTAATGGTTCACATGATTTTCTTTCATATTGGCTTTAGAATTTAAAATCTCACGGTCAATAAACAGTATAATCGGACGGAAATATTTCATACAGGTGCATAAGCTATCACATGCTTCCATTAAAAGGGTTTTAATGGACTATAGATACCCCATGGATAACCCCTGGAAGCCCACCTCCCTCCTTTGTGCATCTTATCCTGTCTCGTATCCTGTTCCACACCAAGGAATGTCACATCTCTTTCCCATATTGTTTGCCATGTCATGTAGTAAACCAGTGTTGTGACATGAGTGTCACGAATAAGTAGCCCAATAATAAATTAATTTACTGCAAAATAAAAAACAGTATTGTATTCCAAAGTTAGTGCATATGTTACTTGTAAAAATGCCTCTATTTGCATTTTTCAAATCCTAAAAGTTAAATTGAAAATTAACATGAATTTGAGGATGTCTCAAAATAACTAATAAAGCTGTAATTATCGGTCTAATCCTTCAAAAGTATGGCAATCCACACCACAGGTATAATGATATTGACAGAGGAACGATATGATTGGAATCACCTTTCAGAACTATTTTTTTTCAGCTAATACAATAATAATAATAGAAATATTGACAGCCAAGCAGAATCCATAGGAGTTTAAACCATTCAAATGTAGCACACGCTTACAATAAAGAGAAAGTTATTGTCCGTTGGTGTAGATGCTATATAACAATATTTGTTATAGTTTTTGTTCATTTATAGTTGTTGTTCTTGGTGTAAACAGGTCTTTAGCTCTGGCTGGTGAATGCCGTAACTACAAACTCTGCAGGAAAAAATAATATTTCTTCCATTGATGGCTGTTGAAATCTAGCTGTGTATTCTGACTAAATAAACATTTTTCAACATAAAAATGATGATTATTTCATTATACTAATGAAGATTTGATATTTTTAAATGCTTTTCCCTGTCTGCTGCCTTTGCCCATCACATCTCAGGATAGTCACTCACTATACTTAAAGGGATAGTTCACTTTGAAATTAATTTTTGATATGTTTTAGCTTACCTCAAGGGCATCCAAGATGTAGGTGTCTTTGTTTCCACAGTATTTTCAGTTTTGATAATTTTAGGTCAAATCGTTCTTGTCTATCAGTCATATAATGGAAGTCTGAGTCCACCTCAAAGAGCATGCACAGAGAAGTCCAAATTAAACATGATTTAATGACTCGTAAATGTAAGTATTTGTACATTGATGGCCTAAGACACGAAACGAGCGGTTTGTGTGAGAAAACAAACAGTATTTATATCGGTTTTACCTCGTGTAACCACAGCCACGTCCAAGTGATCTAAAGGCACGGGCGCTTCGGTCTGCGCATGCGCGCCGGAAAGCGCCGGAAGTGATCTCTTGCGCAGTTGCGAAAAAAAAAAATCAACGTTGTCTGTTGATATGTCGAAATCGTCTTCCATTGCAATTTCCTGTATATCTAAATATGTTTAGATCTTCACAATGAAGGATAACACTTCTGAAATCTGTGTAAACAATGAGTGACGTACACACGCGAGAGATCACTTCCGGGGCTTTCCGACGCTTGCACAGATAGAAGCGCCCTCTCAGATCACTTGGATGTGGCTCTGGTTACAAGAGGTAAAAACGATATAAATACTTTTCGTTTTCTCACACAAACTGCTCGTTTCGTGTCTTAGGCCATCAATGTGTACTTACACTTATGAGTCATTAAATCATGTTTAATTTGGACTTCTCTGTGCATGCTCTTTGCGGAGGACCCCATGTACCTCCATTATATGACTGACAAACAGTTTGACCTAAAAATATCAAAATAGAAAATACTGTGGAAACAAAGACACCTACATCTTGGATGTCCTTGAGGGAAGCTAAAACATATCAAAAATTAATTTCAAAGTGAACTATCCTTTTAAGGACTTGTGCTGCATGCCACACAACTTCACATTTTTCCCAACGTCCTATTTGAGAATAAAAATAAACCTTACCCCTGCTTGATGCGTCACTTGACTTGATGGCGGCGAATAACGATCATAGAGAGCTGGTTAATACAGCAGTGTAATCCTGCAATAGATTAACATTTTTAAGACAGCTTTCAGTCGTTATATTTAGGGTTATGAGTTGGTCAGGAGAATATAAATTACATTTAAATAATTAAACCAGAAAATCATTCCTGAAAGTTAATAATACAAATACAGAATTGAAAAATAAAAGTGTCCGAGGACTGGGGTTTTGAAGGATTGTGTGAATCGCTTTGTGTAGAAAATAAAAACAGGAATTTGAAAACTATTACCATACTCGTAGTTAATACCATTAAATTAGATGGTTTAAAAGTTTTGGATAACAAATAACATGTACTAATTTTGGGACAATATGAACATTTATTTATGATTTTGCCATAACTGGCAGAAGATTAAATGGCGCCATCTTGTGGTGTGATTGACTGGAACGTACTGAGACTGAAAGTGGGACCTTTCTCCTGGCATATTCCCACTTCTGAATTTGATTTGGAGCCACCAGTCAATTAGTGTTGTCACTTCCATCACAACCAACACTATTGCCAAATATTAACAGTGTTGGTGAAGAGCATGCTTGAGATATATGATATGCAAAGATAAATAACAAGTATTTCAAGCACAATTAAGTTGTGCAGTAATACTTACTCAATTAAATTGAGTTCACTGCACTCAAATAATACTGACAAAAGAACTCAAACTGAATGAGTTCTGTTACAGCCCACTGCCTGTTTCTGAGGGAGTGGTTTCATAGAATCAGGAAGTCGACTGCTCGTTCAGGGGACAGAGGAGAGCGCGGCTGACAATAAAGGTGAAGTTTATGAAAAATAAGACTTTTTTAAAAAGAAAAACCACGAATACATGTTATATTGCACAATCATGCAAAGAAAAAAAGCAGTCAACCCCCCTTTAATAAACATAAAATGCTGTCCAGAGGTTTAGAACAGAAATCTTCTTTATATAATAAATGTAAAAAACGAAAGTCTTCCAGAAAAACAGGTTTGATAGAAAGTAACTTAGATCCTCCGTTCAGACAGCAGAGCGTTTTCTGTGATAGAAAACACCCTGTGCCAGCCAACTCAGGAACTCACAGGAGGTAAGATATCAGCGGACGATAAGGTGCTGGACAGGTATTCTGTAACAAGCATAGCTTAGTAGCAAATACTCAGAGGTAGAACAATCTCCAAAAGAGCACAGGACAGGACAGGAACAAGAGGTAAGTGCTCAGAGGTCTCATACATATTACTCTTGAAATAATCTGGCAAAGATACAGGGAAAAGCAGAGCTAAAAGAAGCAGACATAATTAGAGAAAGAGAGAACAGTTATGGAAAGGATGACATGAAAACAAGTAGAGAGTGGAAACAACTGGGGGTGATAAGAGAGATGTGTGTGCATGATGAATGAGAGAGATGTATGCAAGATGAGTGGTGTGGTAGTCAGCGAGTGTGTATGTGTGTGTGTCCAAAAGAGGGAGACAGAGTAAGGAGAAAGAGAGCCAGGATCACTGCTGTGCAGTGAAAGGAGACGGAGGGACACAATTATCATCAGAGTCTGAATAGTTACAAAGTGGGTGTCCTGAGAGATTGTGGTAGCAACTGAGCGCGAGCAAATTATTAGCAGCGTCAGTATCTACAAACTCAGACATGTGTTGCTACCAATCTTTTATATAGCAAGTATTAGCACATGATTGGTTAGATGTGAAGGCAATAAGTGATGCAACAAGCCTTCTTGACAGAACTTCTGCTAAAGCTTTCATTTCAAGACTGATTTTATATTTTTTTATTTTTTTTCAAGAGTCCCACTCCGTTGTGGATCGATGATGTTTGGATTGCTCATGGTTCGGAGTGTTCAGCGGGAGTTCTGACTTTGAAAAACCTGGGGACGTTTTGCACTACTTTAGCGACCCAAATGGACATTATCTGCTTATGGTCATTTGTTTAAACAATACTGTGGTAATACTATTTAATATCTATGGTTATAATGGTTCTCTTTAGACTTGATTTTGTAATGATCCTGGCTCTCTTTCTCCTTACTCTGTCTCCCCCTTTTGGACACACAGATACAAATACACACTTGCTGACTACCACACCTCTCATCATGCACCCCGCTGTCCGCGGTGCTGAAAAAGTAAAGCTCCCTAATTGGCAGAAATCGTTCCGTTGTATACTCCAATGGCGTTCCTCTATGTATTAATTTCAATTAATCTGTTTGCTCTTACACTAATTGTAAATTTGCTCACATTTGTAGCTTTTGCAAGGATCCCTACCCAAAATCAGTCTGCCCACGCCGGTACAGACCTGCAATCCGAGGGAAAGCCTCAAATCAGAAAACATTTGGAATACACGTCCTTCCACTTCTATTAACGTTTCAAATCTTTCACACTACCTCACTTCTCATCCTGATCTGACTTTTGTCAGTGTAAATGAGGCCTTAGTCATTCAAATACATACGATGGTCGCGCTGCTTTCCGCCACGCCGACCACGTCCCCCAAAAAGGACTGTATGTATTGACTGGATTGATGACGGGGGTTGGGGAGACGCACACACGCAAGGTCTCTCCCATAGTCTTTCCCTCTCTACCGTGCTCTCTCACCTTCATTTTCTCCTCACAATCATGACGTAGATCAACTGCTAGATCAATGAGTATAGAAACACTATGATTACAATGACCTCCGATCACAAAAATCTGAAATTATCTTACATTATGGGATTTTTTTCATTATTGATCGTACATCGTACAGAGGTCAAAATTATCGTACAAATACGATAATTATCGTACATCTGGCAACACTGCTCTGAAGCAACCGGGGCAGTACCTTCATTTAACAGCGCTAACGCCCTCTACAGGAGACAATAATAACAGCAACCTTTTCTTTAAATACCCAAAGATAACAATGAATTGAACCAACCATTAACAAATGTTAAAGGCCCACAGAACCGGCTTCTGACACAGCACCGGATGTAACTGGGCGTGCTGAGACAAACCCGGAAGCGATCGTGCATAGAGCCTATAGAACTGTTCACTTTCTGTAGCTAACTTCATATACTGTACTTCCTTGAATGAAGTTTTGTATAGGTGTGAAGAAAAAACTTGTGTCCATATCGAACAAGACATAACAGGAAGAGGTGGCTGAAGTCAGAGTCATCAGTTTTTCTTGCACTGAATGGTGTGATGATGGACAGCAATCTCCTTTTTTTGATTTGAGACAGATGGCACTCTTCAAACATACAAGGCTTTAGACAGATTGAAGTGTTTTTATGTCATGCAGTTTTATTTCATGCAGTTTGTCATGTCGTGCTTAAAAATGGGAAAAATGTACATTATTGTGAGGCCTGCTATCATTATCATCTGAGCCACTCTATAGTGACAGTACCACTGATCTCCAGACAAATACTTTATAGTCACTACATACCCAGACAGCAAACTGACATTGAATCAACGTGGAAACGACGTCTCTCATGACATCGAAACAACGTTGATTTTGCTCATCGATTTAACGTTGAACCAACGTCAGACGCCGCATTCTTCAAAGCTAAATGAAAATCGAAAATTGGTTTGCTTTCATAACGTTAAAACAACGTTGATTTCAAGTTGATTTTCCGTTAGTTTTGAAAGAATGACGCGTCTGACGTTGGTTCAACTTTGAGCTGCACTACTTCCTGAACTTCAGCCAGCTCCTTGTTTCCTGTCTGCCTTTATTGGGCAAACTGATTAATCCAGGTGTGTCTGACCTCAGTAGTCACAACAACAATAATCAGGCACACCTGAATTAATCAAGATTGTCCAATAATGGCAGACAGGAAACAAGGAACTGGCTGAAGTTCAGGAAGTAGTGGAGCTGTGCATAAAGCCAATTCAACAACAAATGCGTCAAAAGTTGTTGTCATAGGATGTCTGTGTATATAATTAAAACCTTGCTTGTATAGTGTGTAACCACCCGTTTATTAATATATATATATTTTTTTAAAATATTCTATTAAAAACTGCATATGTTTTCTTGCCATCTTCTCACATTTGCCACAGAAGGACCTGTATGACAAGTAAACATGACGCAACAGGTCCCTCGCATAAATGTAATTTTGCTTGTACGTAGCAAACTTTATCAGAGTATGTCTATGTAGTTTAAAAAAATTGAGCCAACGTTAGTGTTTGTGTGTGTCTGTGTGTGTGTGTGTGTGTGTGTGTGTGTGTGTTGCACATCCATCATTTCAAAGGGGACGCGATTACAAATTCTATAAGTACATAAATGTATCAAATAACCATACCGAGACGTACTGGTCCATTCTCATTTGTGTTTATTCTGCCCGAGTCTCTTGGTCATCTGGGTCTGATCAGAGACTATTTATATATTCCGATTCAAACATGAATAACATACAAAACAGCGGGTCTCTCACTCTCTCAGCCCTTCTGCTTAGACAGACTGCCATAGGTATGCAAGTGACGCCCTCATCCAAAGGCAGGGTGGGGATATGCAGCTCATTTGCATTTAAGGTTGTATAGACCAAAACAGGTCATTTTTAAGCATGCCCCAAAAATTACATTTTCAAATGGTTATAATAAATTAAGTGTGGGGTATTTTGTGCTGAAACTTCACAAATACATTCTGGGGACACCCGAGACCAATATTACATCTTATAAAAAGGGGCATAATAGGTGTCCTTTAATATGCGCAAATGTGGTTTCAGTTATTATTTTTTTTACTTTTCTGTTATCTTTTGGTTATACTTAAACAATTATAGAAATAAAAAACACTATAGAAGAGGGCAATTCACATTTTGGTGGAGCTGGGTAATTTTTTTTATCTCTATGAAAAGTAGTGAAGTAGAAGTATAAAGTAGAATAAAATGGAAATATTCAGTCACAAGTATGTACAGTACCTCAAAATTAACTGATGGTACTTTGGTTAAAACAGTCTTACCTCTTTATGGCCACTGTCCTCAGCCAATCCACTTGCCTCCTACCAAGGCCTGCCTGTGCATGCAGCAGTTCTTCGCTACCCTTTGGAGTAGTCGTCGAGGGTTTCGGAAGCAAATAAAATTGAAAAGTTGTTGTTTTAACAACTTTTGAATAAGGCCTTTTTTTAGATTGTGGTGTCCCATGATAGAAACCCGGAAATTGTCTGTAAAAATATAAAATACTGTGGTTAAAAAAAATGAATGTCACCTGATCAAAATAATGGTTTCGGTGAATGACAAGAACAAGACATAAATCAAAAATTAGGCAAGTAAAAAGCCTTATAAAGATTTACAATGGCAAATAAGCAAATACATGACAATGACTTGCTCCACCTACAAAACCTAAAAATGGTTTTATTCGAGAGCTATGCAAAATGACATTCCTTGCACTTTACCATAAATAGTGGGATATTTTATTTGTTGATTAAAACTCAACTGAGTAAAATTTTCCCCACAGGTGTGTCATTTGTATTAGATGTTGTAAGAAAAAAAATTTGTCACATGATGTATATCTGTAAAGATTCTCAGTCATAGATGTCATAGTTATCCAAATAAGGTTAAAGTCAAGTGCAACATGATGTACATTTTTTAATTTGAGTTTAAGTAGCTTTAGTTAAACAAAATAGATTTCTCCCAAGGGTAGCTTAGGTGTAGTTCAGTGTCTTTCAGTGTTAAGTAACTGTCAATTTTAAAAGCTATCTTTTAAAAAATTGCTTTTCCAACACTGAATATAGAGTACTAGTTCAGAGCCTATAAGAAATGACTATGTGTGTATAATTATTTAAAAACATTTAATTACTTTCTTAATTCATGCTGGACCCTCTCACTGGGTGTTGGAGTCCTAGCCTGCCCGGTAGCCTTCCCTGTAGCCTGCTCTATGGCCTGGCCAGTTAAATTGCGGGTTATAAGATTTATCAGGGCCTTGGCGGCAGTATCAACCGTACTTTGTGGTTCATCCTGATTTCAAGAGAGAAAGAAATGCATTAGTATTACAATTATCATTAGCATGTAATAACTATCATAATTATTAAGATTTTTAACAAGGGTTGCAATAAAATTGGGATAAAAAAAAAAGACAGGGTCCTATGATTGCCCCACATTGGTGAAAACATTTGTTGTTCAGTAGTTTAACACTGCACTGCAGTTTACAAAGTCAAGTAAAACCAAGTCTCTTCATATCACCTTCTTCATATCATTACTTTTACACTTCTCTCTGTTGTAGTATGTTTAAATTACTGTTATTGTGTAGTAGTACAATCCAAATATTTGATTATATATATTTATAAAACGGTTAGTTCGAATCCTTGATTCTGATTGGTCAAGAGTTG